AAGCCGCTCCTCAGCTCCTTTCTGCCCGAATAAGACGGCTTGCTCGTGAACCCCGCGTCGCTTACAGGTATGAAAATACAGCGCTGCCGTCGGTCCTGTTGTTCACGGGAGAACGAGATAGGTTTGGGGACTGAAAAACTCATAACATCGAGATAATATGTCAAGAATACTGCATGTTGCGTTGTTATGTTTGCTTTTTTTAATTATCTTTCTAGAAATGGAATTTCCTTCTTCTTTCACTAGTACTGAAAGAGCATTTGTTCACCGGCTCTGTCAGTCTCTTGGGCTGATATCTAAAAGTAAAGGGTAAGTTGGAGCCTGATTTTTATTTATTATTTCTTTTTTTGGTGCAAATGTGTGGAATTTCATGACTAGCACTAAAATGATCTGTTTCTCTGGCATATCCTGCACTGTTGCGGGGAATAGTACAAGGGAAAAAAGTTTTAAAAGTAGGATAAAAATAAGTATCTTTGTGCTCTGCTTTATGTCTGCTTAAAAAAACTTGTGACGTGCTTAGTTTGAGATAGCTTGCCCTTGTACTGTTTTGTGGATTTCATGGGTCCATATAAAAGACTTCTCACCAAGATCGGTTCTGTTTTTCATGCACTATTGTGTGCCCAAGGGTTTTGCATAGAGTTTCATACCTTGGTAGATAAAATGTAAGCTGGAGTAGCACGTCAGAAAGAGCGCTTCTGTTGAGAAGTGCAGGAGAAGAGGGTTCATATGCAGGTATGATGATGTTTCTTTCTCTTACTTTGCTCTGGTCTTTTGAAGAGAAAACCCATGTTCATTGACCTGATGAGCTTGTGTGAAAGCTGAGAATCCGATTCCCTTGGGAGTTCAGGTAGCAAAGCAACAGGAAAGGAAAAGTTGCAGGAAAAACCCAGATAGATGGAGTGTCATGTATAATGGGGGGGGGGGCAGGGACTGTTGTAAAATGGTAGCAGCATTTGCTGTTCCTCATTTTTGGTGATACTTCATGATTCTTGCAAAGGTAGTGTAAAATGCTAGTTCTTTGATCTATACTTAATTAGGCAGTAAGTGCTGTACAGCACTGATTGTGTTGAATGTGTAGTTTGGTTTCAGATCTTATTCAAGTGTAGTGCTGTTCAAGTGAGGTTATGCTACCAATGTGGTTCCAGTCTCGCGAGTGTTATAGCTGAGTTTTGCCACAGATGCCTGAGACAATAAATTTGGCTGAACTTGTGTATCTTTGCATCATATTTTGGGAACATGGGGTGTTAGAAAGCCTTGTCAGGTATGTGTGAATGGTTAGCAGGAATATGCTTGAGTTGTATGGTGCCTGTCCTTAACTGTAACTAGTAAACGCTGCTTGAATCCTTGTTGATTCATTGTAGAGCTTTGTAAGTGTTTCTGAGCAGCTTCTTAGTAGATTCTGTGGTATTTTTGGTGGTTGTTTTCATAGAATCATAGAAAATCTCAAGTTGGAAGGGACCCATAAGGATCATCGAGTACAACTCCCTGCTCCTCGCAGGACTACCTAAAACTAAACCATAAAACTGAGAGCATTGTCCAGATGCTCCTTGAACTCTGACAGGCTTGGTGCTGTGACCACTTCCCTAAGGAGCCTGTTCCAGGGACCCACCACCCTCTCAGTGAAGAACCTTTTCCAATCTGAACTTCCCCTGA